ATTTTCAAAATTGATTTTCTCGAAGATTTAAGTATAAAATAAAACTTTTTATCTTTAGAGGAGAGTGATGCTGATGTAGAGGATAACATTGAAGTGGAAAATTCGCATCCGGAGATCGGAGAATCTGGTTACAGCTCGGAGAAGGCATCTGCTGTGACTAGTCCAGTATCTCCTGCTGATCACCAACATCATCATCCGAATAATGATTTGAATAACGCAATCAACTCGGAGGATGGTAGTCTGGACAATAACTTGGATTCAACACAAGTTAGACACTCCGTGAACATTAACGCGTTAACTATTCCTAGTCCCACCGATGTATCGATGACGGACTTGATCCAAATCAGGATACCATCCGAGAAAACTGACAGGAATATTGCTATAGTTAGTTCTGAAAATGAAGCGTCGGCCACAACGTTATCGAACTCCATGATCGTCAATTCCGACGTCACGAGTCCTGAGGTACCCACTGCGAGTCTGAGTAGTTCCGCCGCTTCTAAGGAGAGTCCCACTAGCCCCGTTAATGACGAGGAAGTCGCAAAGAGGTTGAATTCACATATTTAAATGTCTGAATTATACTCTTTTCCAGTTTTGGAAATTGAAATTTGCTCATTATTTATTGACCCTTAGAATTATCAAATCTTAGGCTTTCTAAATTTTAATCCTTTTAATATTTATATGTGTATAAGAGGGCAAAGAGTTATATAACTCTATAGTATTCATATCTTTTGAATATCTGTGCTTTGTAAGTTTTAAAGAATTTGTACTTTGTAAGTTTTACAGAATTTGTAAGAAATTTTATATTTTATATTTTTTAAGAATTGTCCTTTCAAAAAGTTCTTTATAGAAATTTGAATTAAGAGTATTTTTTCAGATTGGACGGTGTTGAGACATGGATGGCAACTGCTACATCGAAGTGTGATAAAAGGAATTATAATAACGGAATTTCTAATGAGGATGATCCCGAAGAGCAAGACATATATAATGAAATCGGCGATATAATGACAGGAATATCCAAGTTGGGAATCATTGGACATCAATCGCCTGGTAGGTACGTGACCAAGGAGGGCGAATGTTCCGTGGAATCGTGTTTGAATCAGTTCACTGCGCTGGAATTAATGACGGGAAGCAACAAGGTCGTATGCGAAGCGTGCACAGCTCGTGAAAAAAAGGTAACTTGAAAAAAAAATTATTTTCAAAATCAGAAGTTTCTAAAAAAATTTTACGTATTTAAGGAATTATAAAAATCAAAATATTTTCAGCCACGGAGCAAAAATTGGTAATAACATCATCTCATTGCTTTTCTCTCTCTCTTTTTTTCTCCAGACTCAGGAGGGCTCATCAAAAATGGTATGCACTTCGAGTACCAAGCAATACCTCATTTCTCAAGTACCTCCGATATTGATATTACATCTGAAGAGGTTTCAAACACAAAGAGTCGGCTTCCGGAAAGTTTTCAAACACGTATCGTTCCCAATGTTACTAGATTTGGCGCCGGTTTGTACAAATCACAAAAAATCTCGACTTTATTCGCTTTATGGGGTCGTTGAACACAGTGGAACTGTTCATGGTGGTCACTATGTTGCTTATGTCAAGGTAGATTATTCTTTGTGTGTCAAATTCTAAAAATATAGACTTTAGAGCTGAAATTCGAGATTTTATAATAGTAAGATAATAATTCATTGTAATTTATAAAAAGTTAACGAGAATATTGAAAATAACTTTAAATATATTGATGATCGAATTTCTTGTTTATATGAATATATTAAGGCTCGGCTCTTTCACTACAGCCATATTGAATTATGAAGTCGAGACGAGAAATGACATGTAAAAAGTTTCTTGCGTCGTATAGCTTTATTTTGTACTTTTCGTTAAAACATGATATTCTCATATTCTTAAAACTTAAAAAAATAGCAGAAAGTAAGATATCTGTCTAAAAAATCACGTAAAAGTGTAAGATAATTCTTGAAATAATGATCACTGCTCAGCTATCAAAAACAACTAGATCAATTAAGTATTTTTTACATGTCATTTCTCACTTTTGATACATAACCCATATCGCACTGTGAAAGAACCGAGCCTTAAAAGAATTTGTTAAAGCTACAATCATATTGCAAGTTATAAAAAATTTTTAAAAGTCGAGAAACAACATTAGATGCTTTTATTATGCAGAAGTACATTTTTCATTCATATTTTTATTAGACGAGATTGCCATTATCGCCAGATGATTCTCGATGGAAATTTCTTCCCAAAGATAAAGATCCTAAGGTAGATAATGAATCAAATAGTTCAGATTCGGAAGGAGAAGAAGCATCAGCGAAAGCTGCATCCGTTATAGAACCACCATCTGGAAGATGGTACTACGTATCAGATTCTCGGTAGAACTTTTACTATTATAATTCGTTTATGAGAAATACAATGTAATATATGTCATGTAATATATTAATATAAAAACATTTATAGTATCTCATAGAATTCAGAAACTATTTTTTCATTTAAAGAATTAAATATAATTTTTCATAAGAAATTGATAATGTTATGCAGAATGCATCTTGTCAAAAGAAAATTATTATATTTTACTACTAATTTGTTTCATATGTAATATGATTCTTATCTTCGCTATATATTTTATTTCTATTTTTCAGTGATATTAATTAGCTTTTGTTTCTATTGCAGGGTATCAGAAGTAGATGAAAATACAGTACTACAAAGTCAAGCGTATCTCTTATTCTACGAGAGAATTCTCTGATTCAATAGAACAAAGCAGAATGGAAATGAAAGTCGATATGGTTACGTTCTCGTTTCCATCCTCAAGAGAAGAAAAATGGACTTTTAATGAATTTCTTAATTATACAAATTTTTACTATCGTGTTATCGAATGTGTGATATATGTAATTGATTACGTGTATATTGTGCAAAAAATCTACAATCTGTTAGGAATATCGAAAATTATTTCTCATTATTAGCAACAGATTAGCAACAGATCAGCAAGAATTATTAACAAGAAGCATTTATTTATGATTTTTTTGTAAAAGTTTAATTGAATTGGAATTATCAGAATCGAATTAATTGTCGAAAATTTAAATTTTTTAGACCATTAAATTCTCAAAATTCTAGAAATGCGAATGAGGTAAATCGGAATTACTTTGTGATCTGACAATGCTTTCTTTTATACACGTCGAACTATTTGTATAAAATAAAGGATTATTAGGATCTCTTATTTTAAATGACATTAAATATCTCTTGATCAATGCATTTTAAAGAAAAACATTTTATAAAATCTTATATTTTATTTAAAATATTTCATAAAGTATTATAATATTTCAAAAATTATAAAATGTCGAGTCACATGATTACGATATTGATTCATTCAGATGGCGCTATTATCGAGATTTATTATACTAAAATTGTCATTTAAAATGGAACACCTTATATATGGCGTAAAATAAATAATTAAGTTACTAATATAATTATTTTAGCATTTAGTAGCACAGACATGGGTTGTATGAATATTAAATTCTTATTTGAAT